TTCACAAGCACTTAGCATTGCTGCTGAACGAGCTACTCCATTGGTTAGATTAGCTAATTCTTTACGATATGTTACTAGAGCTTCTACACTATTATGAAGTTTCCTTAATTGAGATTCAAGAGATTCTACATGAGCTAATTTATTTTCAAACCACTAAAACATTTTTAATTAAAAATTGTAAGAATTATATTACTTTTGTTTTTATTATTGTAAGACTGAAAATTAAATATTTTAGAGTCTAGGCAAAAAAGTGGCAGATTGCTTTGGTACTTACTGGGTCAGATTCATCCATTTTATAGGTCATTTTATTTACTGTTTCCCCAACTTTATTAAACAATCTCATCACTCCTGCGCTGCTCAAAGCAGATGTGCTGGTGGCTTTAGGTAGCTCAATATCTGGAAAATTTAATAATACAGAATATACAATATAATTGAAAAAGTGGAGTTTACGACACCCTCCATGAACTTGTGTAAAATTTTGCAATGGTACCAACTTAACCTAAGGCGTTATAACGAACCTTAACTCAAAACGCATGGCCGCAGTTCTTACTTGCATACGGTTCTGTATTGACCACATGCTTGACAGTATAGTGGAACAATATTTGACTAGTTTTCAGCAAAATTGGAAATTAGCGATATGGGCCAGCATTTGTTCGTTGTATTAAATATGTGCACCGTTACCGCTGCTTTGAAGTGTTCATGCCAAATTCTCACTAGAAAACAGTTGTTAATAAAATCAGAAAGAGGAAAACAGATTGTGTGCGCAACCATTCTAATCAAGATTGAACTAATTCCGTCCATCACTCTTGATGTGGGTTTAGACCTATTTGTTGCACTTTTTATTTCATTTGGAGTGCACATAAAACAAATAAAATAAAGGAATGGGGCTACTTCATTTGATCTAGCAGTTTTAGGCATTAAGAAATTGTCTTAGTTAACTTATCAATACCTACGTGAAGACTTTGTTACGATCAGAATATCTCTGTCGCCAAAGCCCTCTCTTGATTTTTTACTTTTGTTAACACTTTTTTTTACTTATAATACATCGAAGACGTGATCAACATCATTAAAGACATTACAACTGTAGGGATAGATATACAGGAGCAAAAGATTAGTATGCTTAGATTTGGAGATGATATAACACTATTAGCATCTAGCAAGGAGGAGTTAGAGATAGCTTAAAGATAAAATGGAAGCGGTATTGACAAAACAATACTGTATGAAAATAAATAAAAAAAACACAAAATACTGGTATGCAAGGGAAGGAAAAGCAGGGAAAGAGCGAATTAAAGATAGGAGGCGAAAAATTAAAAGAACGTGGCCGATTTTAGGTATCTAGGAATTCAGATTTATTATTATTACATGCATTTTTATGATTATGTAAAAAGTTGTTGAACATAAAATTGATTGACTCTTGTTGAAACTATGCGATCAAACATGTTTTGGAAAAAATCCGAAGGTGGAAAATAATGAAAAAGTGGCATAAAGGTGTGAATAAATTGAACCTACATTCTCAATAGAATTACCACGGTAATTGAAGTAACAATCACTAAACGAAACTACAAGTCTTACCAAAATAATTGAATAATATGTTATTTGATTTCGATCAGGCTACAATAGCATTAAAATAATGAATTCCGCCAGCGTAAATTAAAATTTCTGCGAGCTGGAAAGAATCAACAAGGTCGTTTATAAAAAAATGTATCAGCAAAAATATAAATTTCTCAATTTTAACTTTCTGAGAAACGTGTTGAGTAGTTGGTAATTTTGTACATTAGTGGTCGAGTATACAGACCCTTCAGGTCGGGGTATGCGTACCACTAATACTGAGAAATGCAGGTACCTGAACATAAACATAACATTTATATTACATAGCCTATGAAGTTCGATACAATACAATACCCTCGTTTTTGCTGTTCGCATCTGCCTTGTTGTGTTATTAAAAGCCTTATTATTTTCTGTATTATCGCGCCAGTCAACCCCCTCAAAAATAATAAATAATATAAGGCCAATGTGAGGACCTTAGGGTACTCCTAAAGTTACATCAATAAATTTTGAAGCAAACTTGTTGACTCTAACAGCTTTTTGACGACCAACAAGATAAAAGTAACATACCCTCAATGTCAATCACTTCTATCTTTTAAAGAATGTGATGGTCGACACCATGGAAGGGTTTAACGTTGTAGGCTTGTATTACGTACGTATGTACAGTCGAACTCACTGCTGTAGGTCAGTGTGATAGTGCCATAGGTAAATGCAGAATAGTAGTTGTTACAATGACATTTAGTACGGCAGAATTTTGTGGCATACTTATTTGCGGCGAATATAAATACAACGTAAAAGCAACGGCAACGGTTAAATTTTACTCGATATCACCAGCGAAAATTTCCTCATCGGCAAATTTTTTAAATGTACAAAGAAACCAGCAATGTATACTCTACATGTAAGTGCTGTGGGGGTCGATGCCCCAACATATCCCTCTCACATTGTAAGACCAGTGCGTGAGATTGATCGAGCGGATCCTGTATCATGACCGGCGTGAAGACCGAATCTAAATCCGCTTAGCTTCTTCTGATTTGCACGACCGTATGAGGATCACAGCAAATGAAATACGCTAAATGTCGGGTGTTTTCGCGTGACCCAGAAATAAGTTTGGTAAATGCCTCGAAGCCTGTTTTTTAGCATGGGGTGGGAATTTTTGTAGTATTCGTACGTCTGTGCGTATGTGTTTATTAGTATTGCAATTAATAAAATTACAATTATATATCCAGAGGATATTAATACACTCATGAATGTTTATGTAACGTTAATTTTTTCTTTTGTGTTCCTAATGTCATATCGAGCTGTATTTGAAATAGTGCTGCCTACTATCAACGACGAAAAGTTATTTAAAAAATGGACGTCTAAACATTAGTATGTGTAGTGCCGTAGTAGGAAGTTGTTGATACTTCATTGGTTGTTCTACGTACAATCGGCACCGTTCTAATTTTCTTAGAATTTTTTTTGTCCCTTAACTACGCTGCTTTACTCACCATGCGATTCCCTATTGTATATAGTTAATACCTTCCAAAGCTCGCCACTTATTTCAGAAACAGGAATAGTTACTTCACAAGGCTCGTTTAAAACCTTCACAATAAAATCGTTATATACCTAAGATTAAATTACTAAATGCAGAACGCCCATTTAAATATCCATATTGCTGACATTGCTGTCAACTCAGGGATTTTCTTACAAATTTAAGGAGTATTTAAGTCGTATAAAATACAACTGGAAAATTGTGATAAAAAATAATTTGCAACAAATAACATCAAGAAGCATTAATAAGGTGCTCAATTGCCTATAATTTGTTATATCATTTGTTTTTTGTGTATTATCTGAATATAAGCGTGTCTTCAACCATGAGGAACGGTTCCTGACTCAAAAGAATCTGAATTTAAACTAAATCTGGAATAAACGGAGAAAAAAAAAACAAAAAACAACTCTACAGTACTGTCCATTTCTAGCAAATACATTTTTCTCCAATTACTTCAAAACCCATTACACCCAATTTTTTTTATTAGTTTTAAGATTACATACATACCTATTTACAAATTTCCAGATAGGATTTGTAAGGTGGATTGATTTAGTGGTAAACCGCCCGCTTGTAAGTCGTGACAGGGGCTCGATTGTTAANAAATTGAAATATAATCCGCCAAAATTAATACCTCTTAGGACCACAAGTTTACCTAAAAATAATGAACGCGGTTGGATAGCTCCATAAGCGTATATATGATAAATTATTTTTAAAAAGTACTTTTGTTAAGAAAAGTTAAATATCATTAGAAACTCAAAATTACAGGTACCTACACAGGGTGTTTCTGAAATAAGTAACAAGCTTATAGGAGCTAAAAGGGAACTATCAAGAAAATTAAGGAATGTTTGGTGGTACGAAAGTCCACCATTTTCGAAAAAAAAAAGAACGTTTTGGAAAGTACAGAGAAGGACCAGTCCGGTCCTGTTAGGATCACGAAAAGAAATACATTGCAAAGCCACATTCAGCTGTTACTTATCAGCATCCGTATTGTACGAGGGTGGATTGATAAGTTTCCGGCCTAACCAAGAGATGACGCCACTAGGCCTACCTTGAGGTGACATTCTATAGTACCATCCTTGGATAGCTTGTAGCTATAGTTTCAGCCCGATCTCCT